CAATGATTATGTTATTTTTAAATGTCCGGTCTATGAGTATATATAAAGTAAAAAAATAAAATAATAAATAACTACTATATTGTCAATAATTTTTTTTTGTTTCGTGTATTATTGTCTTAAAAAAAGTTTTTATTTTATTTCAAGACACTTAAAAATCAATTTGTGTCGATAGATAGTAACTTATATATACTATAGTTATCTACCAGTGCCTGCTCTCTCTCTCTCTCTCTCTCTCTCTCATTGATAATCATTTTGCGCTCCGACTCCTATAGCCTATTCCGGGAGTACCCTCTTATCTCAAGTGTATATACTGTATATATATATTGAGAGAGATAGGGATTCATACTATGAATATCGATATATACTGTATATATAACAGTACAGACACCAGACATCCATACCAGAGAGAGATAATACCCATACAATTGAACAGAGAGAGAGAGAGAGAGAGAGAGAGAGAGAGAGAGAGAGAGAGAGAGAGAGAGAGAGAGAGAGAGAGAGAGAGACTTTTTATTCAATTACATCACATAATGGATAAAACAGTAGGTTTTTATATATACAGTATATACTGTATTGTACTGTATATCGACACTACATATCAAACTTATATAAATAGTATGTAGTGTTTGATAGCGCATCAAATAAAAGACATCAAATAATAATAATAATAAGTAAAGTAAAAAATAACTAAAAGATTAAATACAATAAAATAAAAATAAAAAAGTGATTTTATTATAAAAATTTGTTATAAATTCTACACATGTTTTGAGGGTTGGAATCGGTATTTTAGTTTTAATACCCATTATTTAATTTACTATTATTATAGTGTATTATATCATATATATATATAGTGTGTATTTTAATTTAATTTACTATTACTGTATATAATAATAATAATGTTATGCTTATTATTAGTGGTATTTAATTATCATATTTATATTATTTTGAAAAAAAATTAAAATTAATTAAATTAACTTTAAAATATACTCTAAATAGTTATTATATAAAAATTTTTTTATCATAATAATAATAATAATTTTATTGTTTCCATACATTTTTTATATACAGTACAACATAATAATAATAATAATAATAATAATAATAATAATAATATCTATCTACTAATTTAATTTAATGTATTAAAACAAAAACAAAAGTTTAATATAACTTTTTATTTTATCAAAAAAAATTGATTTTTGATCAACTATTTTATTATTTTATTTTTTGATTTTATCAGCAAAAATAAAATTTTAAAAATACAGCTAACTCTCAATGAATAAAACAAAACAATAATTTTTTTCCAACTATTTCATTGGGGGTGGGGTGGGGGTGGGTATTGGTATTATAACATACAATAAAAGCCATATACAGTATATATAACACACAAACTAACAAAAAATTTGATGTGAAACACCTGGTCTCGATTTCGCGCACCATTAGCTGTTAGGTTAGGAGTAGTTTATAATTTAGTTTGAATTTATCTCATATATATTGATATATATATACAGTACTGTATATTACTGTAGTATATATATATCTAAAAATATAAGTAAATTTAATAGAAATATATATATATATATATATATATATATATATATATATATATATATACTTTATTATATAAAATTGAAATGATTTGATTGATAACGATTAAGTAACTAAAAAATACTTATATATATTATAGTAGTATAGAAAACATATGGCTATAGAGAGGAACGGGATGTTATGTATTATAATATATATGGTTTATATCACTATCAGATCCAGAAGCCATATAACCATATATATGACTTAATATACAATTATATTATATAATATATATTTAATTTATACAGTATATCATAGTAAGTAATTGAAGCTAATATTTTGTATATTATGTTTCAAAAAAATACATTTCATTTATGTTAGTTTTTTTGGTAGTAATATCTTCATAATAAAAATAAAACAATAAAAAAAAGTTTTTTAAAAATAATTATTAAATTTTTCTCGACAATAAAATAATATATAAATGAAAAATACTTTATTAAATTAAATTATTATGAAAAATCAATTAATTATATATATATATTTTGTAACTTTACTTTTGTTACTTTAATATCATATATATATTTTTAAAAGTTATTTGATTTTTATTACTGGTAGAAAAAAAACTATTGAACAAAAAATACTGGAAATATTTAGTCATATATAAAGATTTTTTTTATATATATATAGATATTTATTACATACAAAATAAAAATTATTTTCTAACAATAAAAAAAGTTTTTATATATATATATATATATATATAGATATATATATACTGTATATAAGATTTATGATTTTACTATTTTTTTTTCTCAAACTATCATTTTTGTTGTGTGTGTGTGTTATTTGTTATGGTTTTGTCAGTTATTTTTTTTTGATAAATAATTTTATTATTATTATTGTAAATAATTTGTTTTGTAAAAGTTATTAAATACAGAAACTGTTTTGTTGTTGTTATTATTATAATAATATTATTTTTTTAAAATAAAACTTTTTAATTATTTCAATTAAATTATTTAGAAAATAATTATTACTGTTATTATAATCTATATATAAAATATGATAATTTTTGTTTTATAGATATTTATCTATTTATCAAACTATAAAAAATGTGTTATAAATAATATATCAATATTTTTTTCTTGAAAATAAAAGTTATATACAGTATATACTATATATATATATATATAATTTTTCTCTATATTATTGATGCTTTTTGTTTCAAATGTGATTTATCTATATTTAAGTCCACTTTTATGGGTTATAGGTATCTATTGGATATATATATATATATATATATATATATATATATATATATATATATATATATATATAGTCTAGTATTTTATATTATAGACTCAATAATAATTTATCTCTTAGTGTATATATATATATATATATACTATACTATACTGTATATCGATGTGTCAGCAAATTGTTATATAATATCATAAATATAAAAATAAAAACTTATAATAATGTCTATACAATTGTTTTTTGTTTTATATTATATATATATAAATTTATAAGTGTTGTGTTATTTATTTTCAAGTATTTATTTATAGAGAATTTAAACTAAATAAACAACAAATAATAATAATAATAATAATAATTTAAAAATAAGACAATATTGTCAATGTTTGTATAGAAAATTTTTTTTTAATAATAAACTAAAATAATACAGTATAATATGTGTGTAATATTTAAATATAATTTTTTTTGATATAAAGATACTAAATATATATATATATTTATATTTATATATATATATACAGAATATTTTTATAAATAAATAATTATATTAGTTATACATATATATATATACTGTATATAAACTGTAGTTTACATATGTATGCATAGGTTTTATTAAATATATATATATATATATATATAATTATTGTATACTTTTATTTTATCCAAGTCTAGACATTTAAATAAAAAAAAATTTTATAATAATAATTTTTGTTTGTTGTTATTTATACATATGACATATCATATTAAGTAATAATAAATAAAAAAAACTGGTATTTAAATTATTAAAATTACAATTTTTTTTATTAAGATAATAAGTTTTTACATTTACAAATAACTTAATACACTTTAACAATGCATTTAAATTTTAATACTATGTTTTTTRAGAGAGAGAGAGAGAGAGAGAGAGAGAGAGAGAGAGAGAGAGAGAGAGAGAGAGAGAGAGAGAGAGAGAGAGTATTATGTATTATATATGAAATGTGTAAATAAGTTTAACATTTTTTAAAAAAATATTTCAAATTTTATAAAACAACTCAAAAAATATTTTTACAGTAAATTTGATTCAACAAAAACCTATTGCATAACAAAAATATATTAAAAATCAATTAAAATTTATAATAATAATCATATTATTATAATAAAGTTTTTTCATATATAAATATATATATCATATATAGATATATAAAAAAATATTTTCAAAATATATTTTCAAAAAACCCAATCAAAACTCTATTGTAATTTTTATTTGTTAAATAAAAAAATATATAATATATTTTTTTTTATTAAATACAAGTACATTACTACACAATGAGTGAGTGGGTGAGTGAGAGATAGAGATAGATAGATAGATAGATAGATAGATAGATAGATAGATAGATAGATAGATAGAGAGAGAGAGAGAGAGAGAGAGAGAGAGAGAGAGAGAGAGAGAGAGAGAGAGAGAGATAGTTTGAAGTTTAAAAAAGCACTTTAAATAAAAAATTTCTCAAATTTTTTTTTTAAATACTTATACATAAATTCCTAGTATTTATATAATATATAATATTATTATCATATTATATAACAATACAATAATTTATATCCTATTTAAATGTGCTCTAATGCTATACTTATATATCATATATATATTATATATAATTATATATATATATATATATATATATATATATATATATATATATATATATATATATATATATATATATATATATATATATATATGTTATATATATTTCCATTATTTTATTTTATAACATAATCTTATAAAAACTACATTATCAACCAACAACACAAAAAAATTGAGATATAACTTATTATATATATATGTAGAATATATTATACACTAAATAGTAAATTTATTTTAGTTTTTTTTCAACAACAAAAAAAAACATTTACTACGTGCTTAAGTGGGCCAAAAAAATTTCAATATACATATAGATAGATAGATAGTTAGATAAAAAAACTTAAATCAAAATTATTAGTTAAGTAATAATAATAATAATAATAATATTAGTAGTATTATTATTAGTAGTAGTATAGAGATTATGTATAGATTACTAGTTTTTTTTATTATTATTAATAGTAATGATATTATTTTGTATTATAGTTTAGAGAGAGAGAGAGAGAGAGAGAGAGAGAGAGAGAGAGAGAGAGAGAGAGAGAGAGTGGGAAAAAATACTTTAAAATAAAAATTTGTAAAAATAGTTTAAAAAAAAACTTACCGGAAATTCCCTCATATGTCCACCAACTGTCCCAATCGGCCAAACAATTGCCAATTAAATTGTTAATTATTATTATTAATAAAACAACAATTGAATAGTAATCCATTGATAATGTTAACCATTGATGATGATGATGATGATGATGGCGATGATAATTTAATTTTAGATAATTCATTATTTTTTATTAGCAAAAAAAACCCCGAAAAATTCCTGTAAAAAATAATAATAAATATTTTTTAAAATATAATTTAAGTGTAAGTGTAAAGTAATTTTTTCTTTAAAATTATTACTTAAAAATATTTTACAATATATACTGATATATATTACAAACTTTTTTTTTAGTTAGAAAAAAATAATATAAAACTATAAATATCTTATTAATAATTTTTCAAAAAAAAAATTAAATTAAATTCTATATTATATATAAAAAAATTTTTGTTTGTTTGAAAAAAAAGTTATTAAAAAAACTGATTATTTATTTTTTTTTTGCCAAACAATTAGTGACAAAACCAAAAATTATTTTTTATTAATATTATTATTATAATATTATTAAGTATATGAAGCAAAAAAAAAATAAGTTATATAACAATAGGATATTATAATACTAATATTATTATACAATAGGGATGATAGTAGTAGTAGTAGTAGTAGTTATAGACAATTGTCACACAATTGATGCAATACAACAACAGCAAAAAAAATAAGTAGCTTTCAAATACATACACTTATGGTGTATATACATGTATAAGTAGTCTATACAGTATATGACTAGTAGTAGTGATGGTATGGTATCGTATCGTATGGTATGGTATGGGCACACAATCCCTGCCAGGAAAATCAGTGTTCAAACAACTCCTAAAACTTATATAATATATATATATATAAGTTAGTCTACCCGTGCTTTTATATAAGTATCACCACTATGTGTGTGTGYGTGTGTGTGTGTGTGTGTGTGTGTGTGTGTGTGTATGGTGTGTGTCCTAAGACCTGCCCCTCCAATACAATAGCATTTACTTAGTATAACCAGTCACTCAGTTACTCTATGCGCACTGTCATACACACATAGCACACACACACACACACACACACACACACACACACACACATACACACACACACCATACCAGTTAAAAAAGCTATTGTATTCAATATATGATATATTTTTTTGGAGATAATTTTTTTTTATTTAATGATTTCTTAAGTTTTATATATATATATATWTTTTTGTTGGTGAGAGGGGGGGGGGAGGGGATGCAAATGAGGAACTTAATATATATATATATATGTAAAATACTGGTGCGAAAATTACTAATTGAAAAACTAATTTAAAGTTAATTAACATATCATAGAGAGAGAGAGAGAGAGAGAGAGAGAGAGAGAGAGAGAGAGAGAGAGAGAGAGAGAGAGAGAGAGAGAGAGAGAGTGAGTGAGTGAAAGAGAGAGAGAGAGAGAGAGAGAGAGAGTGAGTAGGAATAATGAGATTTACTTTCATAAAGAATATTCTGTGTGTTTGTGTGTTAATCCTTATATAACTTTATATATATACTGTATATATATACTGTACTTAAATCTATTGTTAATTTACAATCTATTATATATTACTTAACAATATATATATATATATATATATATATATATATATATATATATATATATATATATATATCTCTTAAAGAGACACTAAATTAACTTTTTTTTAATATACAGTAAATATAAAGTTATATAACTTTATATTTTCAGTATATAATCAGTATTTCAAGTTAATTATTAAAACATTCATAAAAATATTTTTTTACAAATAAACTAAAATTAAAATCAATTTGTTTTATTATTATTATTATTATTATCATAAAAATCTTTAAAGTAGTAAACAATTTCTAATATATATTTTTTTTGTTTGTTTTGTTTTACATAATTGTTTAACAATTTTTTTTTAAAAAAAATAATAATTTCTATCAATAATATTTATAATTAAATTTTTTTTTCAAATAAAAAAATCAACAAAATTATTATTATATATATATAAACAGATAGTTAATTACCGTAATTACAAAAAAACATTTACCGGTATATCATATGTAATAAATTATTAATAAATATATTACCGGTATATACAGTATATCTGTTATATAGATATATATATAAAATAAATACAAAAAATTATTTTTAAAATCAATTTTTCCAAAAAAAAACAAACAAAAAATTATAATAAATTTTAAATACTATTACCGCTAACCAGTTATCTATGTGTGGGTGTGGGTATGTAAGCGGGTGTGTGTGTCTAACAATCCAATTGATATAATCGGCCGCAAAACGGGTTGACATCGATCGGATAGTTGGACATTAGGTGGAAAAATATTTGAGCCGCCAATAGGCTATCGCTGGCCGCCTGATGCGGGTGACCGACACGGGCCAGTCCTAATTGATTAGCTACCTGTCCGCCAATGAAATTCAAATATCAATAATCGGCTAAAAATATATATATATATAAAAAATCCAGTCATACGTCCTGAAGTCCGCCCAACACTTGCGGCTGACCAGCGCATCCGATATAGGGTCCGCCGCCAATCGGCAGCCGATCGGCCAGACGATTCAATATGAACTTAATGTCGTAGACGTACGGGAAAAACGTGTCCAACAATTCGTGAAACTGTTGGCGCGACGGCGGCAATAGACTGGCGGTCAACAGTTTCATTAGATAAGCAAAATCATAGCTGCCGTGAAAGGCCATCCATTTGCAATCGGGATTCAATACTAGACCCGAACCGAACAGTAATTCGGCAAAATCTTCGGCCCGAATACCGTCGGTAGCCAATCGATCGAAATCCAGACCACTCGAGTCCAACATATCTATCGATTCCCGAACCGATCGATCGCTGTGGCGATCAAATTGAAAATTAAATTGCCAGGCATTTACCCGACACTTGTCCCACGGTGTACGACCCGTCGGGTCCATCAATGCCAGCCCCACTTGAATAACCTTTAACTGGTCGACATTGTGCCGTATGAACTGATAGTTTTGTTCGTTTCGGTCAAACCATTTGCCGCCCAATTGGCCGTAAAATATACCGCCGCCACCGCCAACGCCAATACCGTTACCAGTAGTAGTAGCCGATCGGCCAATCATAACGCCGGGAAATTCAGTGTCCAACGATACGAATGGATAGTCGCCGACCAATTGATTTATCTGATGAAACTCTTCGGCTAAGTTATGGCGCCAAACATTGCGTATACCATCGTCCGCATCGCCGCAGCCGACGGGGACCGGAAAGTCGGCGGCAGCGTCGGCGGTAAACGTGGCCTGAGTTGGCATCGGAAAAGTGGCATCCGATTCGGCTGCGGCTGCGGCAGCGGTAAAGTCCCACCAATTGTTGTTTGCAGTGCTAGTGGTCGGAGAGCCCGACGATCCGACAGCAGCGGCGGTAAACATTGGATACGACGATATCGATGGCCGCCGCGGCGTCCGCTGCCGCTCCCGACTGCCGGGTGACCGGCGGTAATAATTGACGGCCATATCGTTGTCGGTGTTGTTGTTGTTGAACGGCTGCTGATATGTTGATAACATTTTTATTAATTTATTAATTAATTTTAATTAAAATTATAACTAATTATAACTAATTATAACTAAATTACTGTTTAATTGAATTTAATTATAAAACTTATATTTTGTTGAAAAATTATTAACACATTTAAAAAACACGTGTTTTTTTGCATTCAATAGGTATTGAATTGAATTGAATTTTAAAACTTATTTTTTTGTTGAAAAATTATTAACACATTTAAAAAACACGTGTTTTTTTGCATTCAATAGGTATTGAATTGAATTGAATTTTAAAACTTATTTTTTTTTGTTTTTGTTGAAAAATTATTAACACATTTAAAAAAAACACGTGTTTTTTATATACAGTGTATATCAATAGATATTTGAATTGAATTGAAATTTACTATTGAATTGCATTTACATATACTGTATATTATTATATTAATCATTAGGTGTTTATAATGTATGGGTTTTTTTGTGGTTATTTTTGAATGACTAATAAAAAAACTAAAAAAATAAATAAATTAAAAAGTTTTCAATTTTTGTTACAAATTTTATTTTATTTTTTAACTTTTGTATTATATTTTATTATTACTGGTATTATAATCATAATTATTATCATATTTTGAATATAGTTGATTATTAACCAAAAAAATATAATAATAATAATTTATTTATTTATTTATATATAATATAATATTAATTTAATTTTATTATTGAAAAAAATAAACATTTATTTTATTATTATTATGTGATATACAGTAGTAATCATTATTATTAATATTATTTTTGTTATTATAAAATATTATGTTTTTATGTTTAATAAATTATTACAGTTTATATAACTTAAATAATTAATATTAATAAACTTATAGTACTGTAAACTATCATAATATTATAATAATTTTTTTTTATATATAAATCAAAATTAAAATCTATAAATTGAAAATCTAAAATATAAAAAAAAATTTATTAAAAAATTATTAATTAATGTTATTTTTTAAAAAAAAATTAATATAGAATATAATAATTTTTTAAAATAATTATTTATTAGTTTTCTAATAATTATTTATCAAGTATTTTATTTTATTTATTTACATTATTATTATTTTTAGTATTTATTTTTTTTAAAGTGTAATATTTAATAAAATAATTATGATTATCAAAATTAAAATGTTTAAAGTAAATTTATCTATAAAAAAAATATTTAATTTTTTCATTATTTTTTTATTTTTTAACGTATCATGTTAAATTTAATAATTATTTTTTTATTGTCTAATATATAATTAATTATGTTAGCAATGTTAGCAATAAAATGTACTTGTTTATACTTTTTACAAGTCATTATTAGACTTATGCATCTTCGGGAATTCCCGAAACATTATTATTTATAAAATCGTCGGGAATTTAATATTTATATAAATATGGCAATATTTTAAATGAAATTAACGTCTATTGTTTTTCCCGATTTCCCCGATTTTTGGTGTTTTTTGAAAAAATCCCGAAAAACACCGAAAAACAGTATTTAAGTGTGTTTTTCCCGAAATTCGATAAATATTGATTGAAATAACTCTTAAATATATATTGAATACAATATTAGCGGCACATCTAATACAATATTAACTCAATATCAATGAATGGGATGATATGTATTAGAAAACACACTTTAAAAAATATTTTGATATAAAAATTGTAGTTTTGTATGTATTGTAAACATATGTTCTGTAATACTGTACTAAATTAATATATTTTTTACAATGCATAAAACAAGTTGTAGTTTATAAACTAAAACTAAATGCATTATTATAATCAATCAATTAAAAACTGAAAATAAATTATTTTTAACAAATATAATCGATTTTATGATATATAAACTATGGTACTATAAGAAAAAAACTAAATTTAATTTCCCGATTTATATCCCGATTTTGCCATTTTTTACTCCCGATTTCCCGACCGATTTTGGCAATTTAAACTCCCGAAGATGCATAACTATAGTCATTATACAAATACAAAAAAATATTATACTTAAAAAATGTATAGAAATTAATATTATATTAAATTGTTAAACGAAAAATTAATTTTAAATGAAGTTAAATAAAATTAATAATTAAAACACTTAACTAAATTAAATATATATATTTTTAAAATAATTATTAATAATATAAACAAATTATTGTCTAAAATATTTTTTTAAAATCATTTATTGATTAAAATACAAAAATTTAGTTAATTATAATTTATTAAATTATTAATAATTTATTATTTTGTAATTAAATAATGTTTAATTAACTGTATATTAAATATAAAATTATTTTTTAAAAAAATGAAAATATTATTTAAAAAGTATTATAAGTATTACAACAAAAAATCATTTTACAAAAAAAAATTATTACCAAAATAGATAATATGAAATTTAGAAATAATAATAATAGATATTATTACTAATAATTATTAAAAAAATATAATTGAATATAATTATTAGTAGTCAACTAAATTCATATAAAATATATAATAGTTAACTATCAGTAGTTAAATAATAATAAATTTAAAAAAAACAAAACATTTTACAAACAACAATTAGATATAATTTATTGCATATTTTAGTTAGTTTAGGTTAGGTAAGGGCGGGTAATGTAGGTAAGGTAGGCAAGGTAGGCAATGTTGGTAAGGTAGGTAAGGTAGGCCTAACTATGTAGACACTAAATTTTTTGATAATAACCTTGATAGTTTTTATAAAACTGGTAATAAAATCCGAAACTGGTTTAATGATATCGGGATTACTACCCATTTGTAACAATAATTGTTGTATCAATTTGTTGGCATTAAATAGAAAATTCCCGGCAAACTGTCCAACAAATTCGGAAATTACCGGTAAAAATTTCTGAACTTGTTGTACACCCTGGCCAGTCAATGTAGCGGCAAATTTCCCCGATAATTCAATAACCAATTGACCTAATAATTCCCGATAGACTGGTTGACCAGTTCGCTGTTTACCCGTAATTAACGGTTGAAATGTTTTCGTAATTTTTTCGTCCAATTGTTCAAACAGTTGGCCCACTTGTCCCAACAGTTTCGATAGTTTCGGCTGTTTCGGGGCCAATGTTTTCTCATACTCGACGCTAGCATTGGCTAAAACACCGATCAATTGGCCTAAATCATCGCCCAATAGGAACGGTAGGTCTCCGATGTCAGCATTGCTAAGTTGTTGGAAAAATTTGGTAAACTGTTGTTTCAATTCATCTAACTGTTCCCTATTATCCTGGGCTAAACTGGTGAAACCGTTTTTAACAAGCAATTGATAGGTATCAATTTCAAAATTGTTCTTGCTAGTATCTAATGTAGGTATGTTGGGTAGAGTGGGTAGAGTGGGTAGAGTGGGTAGAGTGGGTAAGGTAGGTAAGGTAGGTAATGTTGGTAAGGTAGGTAAGGTAGGTCTAATCATGTATTTACTAAATTTTTTGATAATAACCTGGATAGTTTTTACAAAACTGGTAATAAAACCCGAAACTGGTTTAATGATATCGGGATTATCACTACTACTACTACTACCCAATTGTTTAATCAATTTGTTGGCATTACATAGAAAATTCCCGGCAAACTGGCCAACAAATTCGGAAATTACGGGTAAAAATTTCTGGACTTGTTGTACACCCTGACCAGTCAATGTAGCGGCAAATTTTCCGCTTAACTCAATAACCAATTGACCCAATAATTCCCGATAGACTGGTTGACCTTTTCGTTGTTTACCCGTAATTAACGGTTCAAATGTTTTAGTAATTTTATCGTCCAATTGTTCAAACAGTTGTCCCACTTGTCCCAACAGTTTCGATAGTTGAGGCTGTTTCGGGGCCAATGTTTTCTCATACTCGGCGCTAGCATTGGCTAAAACACCGATCAATTGGGCTAAATCATCGCCCAATAGGAACGGTAGGTCTTCAATGTCGGCTTTGCTTAGTTGTTGGAAAAATTCTGTAAACTGTTGTTTCAATTCATCTAACTGTTCCCTATTATCCTGGGCTAAACTGGTAAAACCGTTTTTAACAAGCAATTTATAGGTATCAATTTCAAAAGTGTTCTTGCTACAATCTAATACTATAAAAAAAATTGTAATAATAATTAATTTTTACAGTTAAAATAGTAATAATAATAATACTACTAATAATACTGTAATAATAATAATAATAATAATAATAATAATAATAATAATAGTAGTAGTAATAATAATTGTAATTATAATACTATTAATTATAGTAATAATAATAATAGCTATACTAATAATAGTTATAATATTAATAGTTATAATAATAGTAATAGTAATATTAATATTAATAATAATAGTAATATTAATAGTAATAGTAATATTAATATTAATAATAATAGTAATATTAATAATAATAGTAATAGTAATATTAATAATAATAGTAATATTAATATTAATAATAATAGTAATATTAATATTAATAATAATAATAATAATAATAATAGTAATAATAATAATTTTTAAATATATTACCTTGTGCATTTATGCTAAGTGTCCTGGAACCAATTAAAACTACAATGGCTAGTAGTAGTAGTAATTGGTTTGCCATAGTTTATAAAAAACAAATATTTATGTATTAATTTATTATTAAATTAAATAATAAAAAAATAATAATACTATTACTGACTGACTGACTGATTGTAACTAATTGTTTGAAAATTTAAACAAAAAATATTTTTTTTATATCTATCTATTTAATTATAAATAATAATTTTTTTATATTATAGTATATAAAAGAATTTACTAGTCATAGAATTTATATTTATTATTATTATTTATTAGTTAAATCATAGAAACTATTTTTTATTATTTTAATTATTAAGTTTGTAATATTCAAGCAAAAATATTTATATGATTATGAAAAAAATATATATAAAAATTATTTGAAAATTTAATTAAATAAGCTTTTATTAATTAATTTTTAATTAAATATAATTTTAATATTAAAGTGAATATAAAATAAAGTTATAGAGAATA